GATTTATTGTTGAACTTTATCACAATATAGATAAAATTGTCCTCAGTACCTGGCGGCTCAACCAAGAAAACATATGAATTGAGCTAAGAAAACGTATGAAATCCCTAAAATCACATGAAAAACAGAGTATATGAGATCACCTATATATGAATATGACATATTTTGACATGTTGATAATTAAATCAACAACACTCTATTTCGCACAATAATTAACGAAAATCGGAAGATATACCTGAGGCCGTCGAGTATGTAATATGGCAGTTCAATCAGAAGTTTCGGACTCACGAAATTGGTATGGAAATCTCTTGGGATATGGGAAAATCGGGCTCGATAAAGTGAAAATTGGTCGCAAAATTTCAAGCGAATGGAATAATTCCCATTGATTTCGTGTTAATCGCTCACGGAAAAATACACATCTGCGGGATTTGAGGTATGAGCTTAGGTGCGGGTATGAATTTAGTTGAGGGTTTCCAGCTGCAAGTCTTCCATTTCTCGATCTGTGCGGGTATGAGCTCACGACAAATTAGTTGATCGGTGTATTTACATTATTACCCTCCAATTGATGGGGTAATTGAATATCAGCGGATCTGTGATGTCCGTCCGATTTAATTGATCTAGTGTACCTAATTTATTCTTATTTCCTTCATTAAGAGTCATTTTCACAGGAATCCAACCATATATATATAAATATATAGAATATAGTAAAAAGAAAAAAAAAAGCATGCACAATTTGTCGATCGCCTGGTGGGTCAACAATGGAAAGTTTTGTTATGCATGAGTGTGAAATATAATTATTAATTTTAATATTAACTATTATATGATACAATAAAAACATAAAATTATTACTCAATTAATATAAAATGTAATGATTTTTGTCTTAATTAACAGAATTAGATTTTAGAAAGTTAAGTGCCACATAGGTATAATTTATGAATTAAAATTTAACCAAAAATAAATAATTTTAATAATTAATTTCTTGATTTTTCTTCCGCTTTCGTTTTTAAGAAGAAAAAAGTATATTTAACTATATAAAGGAATCAAAATAAATTTAAATAATACCCATATCATTTAAAAATTCATTTATTTTTTCGTGTACTTACTTGTGATATCATTAATTATTATTATTATTTTTTCTTGTAGATTTACCTTTTAATTAATCTTGGATCTGCCACTATTTGCATATATTATTTATACTTGGATGTTTGACTATTTAAATTCATACTTAGAGACAGTAATGGTTTTGGAGTATGGAAAGTTTTCCATGTACGTAGGTATTAAACGATTGTTTTTTATATAATTTAATTTTTTCTAATGTCATAGTAGAATTTCTTAAAATTGCATAAACAATTATAATAATAAATTTAATATTTTCAGCAAATTAATTGATTATGACCTCTCAAAATTATAAATATTACATTATTTATTACATTTTATGCAATCAATATAGTGATGTGATTTATATGTAATCAAATAGTTACGTACTATTTATATTAACCAATGATCAAATTATAAACATACTATCATTATCTAACTTATAATTTTAATAGTATATGTATAAAATAACTTATAATACTCTTATGTTTAAAATTGAGTACCATTATCTAACTTATAATTTTAATATTATATATATACAAATAACTTATATAAATTATTTATACATGTGCAAATGCACACGGTCGACTACTATTTGATATTTCACACATAAATATCATTAAATATGTCTCAAAATTATCATGATTCACACTTGTTGCTATACATTAATCTATAATTATATTAAAAGGTATACCATTTACCAGATTTAGTATAAAGAAAAGTCAACAACATTTATTGCATTACTATTTCCGTATTATACAATCTATACTTATATAAAAGGAGATTCTATTTACTACATTTACTATCCATTACTATTTTGGTGTTATAATATTTTAAATTATTTAATTGATTTATTTATTTGTTTATTTTAAAAAGGTAAGTATAATAAAAAGATTTTAATAATAAAAAAATGAAATACCAAATAAAAATGTACACTTTGATTTATTTGATTATATTTGGTACTTGATTATACCAAATATATTTCTATTTAGTATATACATTAAATACTTACTAAAGTATTTATTTGTTTTATTTATCAAAGTTAAGTATAGATTTGTTTATATTATTAAATCATAAAAAAATATTACATCCATATTGTAAAAAAAAAAATCATATAATTTTATAACAATTCTACTACACTATTTAACAATATTTCTTTTTTATTATATAATAAAATAATAATTAAATATTATATGGTGAACAACAATAAGTAAAACTGTTACTTTCTCTTATATCAAGGAATAAATTTATATGCTAAAATTAAATTTTTATTAGTATAAATATTTTAGTGAGATAATATATTAATTATTTTACAAGCTAGCCCTAACATGCTCATATTTAATGTTTTAAAAGATGTAGAAAAAAAACTTATAATAACTCTATTGTTTTTTAGACTTAAACATCTATCATTATATAAAAAGAATAACCATTTTACAAATTTAGAAACTTTTTCCCGCCAAAATCATTAAATATATCCTATATATAGTAATTGTAGGACAAATCTGAATAGGCAAAAAAATCCGCTCATTAATTGTGTAAAGATTTGTTTCTCTTTTTCCTGTTTCTTAGTTTATCGTTTTAACAACAAATATTTATTTTTCTTTTTCCTATTTTTAGTATAAATCTACACGAGCTTATCTCTTCTGTTACAAAATCTCATTGCATACGATCTTAGGTGGTTAAAAAATCTCATCTCTTATCTATACACATTTGAAAAATAAAATAAAATAGAAATCAATTCATAATTACTACTAGAATATCATTATCTTTAAAAAAAATTAATAAAATAGAAACCAATTCATAACTACTACTAGAAATCCATTATCTACTTTAAGAAGCTAATTTTCATCGGTCTAATTACTAATATTTTTCAAATATTCTAAGCTAACCATACAAAAAAGTATAATGATAATTTTGAAATGGTGTGTAATCAAATTTTTTTATATTCTCTCATACAAAATCATTTTACATTGTTTGACCCCGAATCTTTAATTTATAATTATTAAGTATTGTTTATCCTCCTCTTTTATTTATAATTATGTTTTTTCTTCCTCTTTTTAAATACGATCAATAGTAGTTTTCACTTCCGCCATTGACTCAAACTCGAGGTCTATTTATAATATTGTTAATTTAATATTGTTCCCGTGCATCGCACGGGCTACACACTAGTTGATTAAAAGAGGTAAATTTTTTTAATTTTTTAGACTTAAACGTTGATTAACACCATAGATTGAGAGTTTATATTTAGTAAAATTCCTAATTGTAATAAAAAAATTAATTTTTGTTGTATTTTAGAATATCTTTAAATTCATTATAAAAAAAACGAAAAAAAACTACAATGAAAAAAGCAAGTCAGTTATATATCGATTTGTTGTACTCCTCAAATCACATTCACAATTTGGCTACAAGAAAAGAAACTCATTGATTAAAATATTATTTTGTCAGTAGTCTTAATTAATGTACAAGAGACTTTAAGACTCCACTTGAATATTATAAAACTTTTATTGAACATTGTACAATTTTGTTGCGTATTATAAACTTTTATTGAATATTCCATCTTATAATATAATATTCTCCAAATAAATATATCTCGTGTTTCGCACGGGTCACGTACTATATATATCCCGTATATTTTTCTTTATTCATGTATATAATTATAAGCTTGGATAAATAGCCTTAAAATTATGCACTCCGTGCATCGCACGGGCTCTGTACTAGTTGTCTAAATAGAAAAGAGGTTTATGATCGACGTAACTAATGTTGCACTCCCGCTCAATAGCACCACTGTGACTTACTCTACGCTACCTTAAAAAAAATGAGACTTCCAATTTACGGGGCGATAAAAATCGAGCCTTTGGTTCGACCCAATCGTCTCGACTAGTCCACAAAACAATTATTTCTTTTCATATATATGTTGGAAATTAGAATTCGTGACAATCTTTTATCTAAATAAAACATCTCTCTTTTAATTAAAGCTCCAACACTTACAATTAATTGGACGCGAATTATTTTGTTAATTTGTCAAAATCTAACATTAGAATATGACTCATTTCGTGATATATTTTAAACAAAAATGTATATTTAATTATTAATTTATGTCATCTCATAATTTTTACAGAACACAATTGAATTGGCTACGTAAATGTCAACTACTTATAAATTGCAAACAAACGAGTACTTCCTAGTAAACCGGTGAAACGCTTGCCGCCATTATTATGGCGCCACGTGTACGTCAAAATCAACTCGAACTGATCACCCGGCGTTTGATCGGTTTTCCATTGCAGTAAAAGCTCGCATTTATCACCCATTCCTTTCTCCTCACCCGCTCTATTCACCGCCATTATTACCACTTATTACGAGTAAATGTGAAAAGTCAAAGATAAAAAATGAAAACACAAAACAAACGCCTGTTTTTTTAAAACTTTGCAATGGCTGTATATTGTTTATATGGAGAATATACACAAAATTCTTGTATGATAGAGCCTAAATGCGTAATCATTCTATATGTCATACTACTATTTAAATAAAAATATATATTTATATTACCAAATATCATGTCTATATAGTTTTTTAAAATAAGACGTTTTTTAATGAAAATATGTAAAAGAAAATGTGTGGCTACTATATATGTGTCTTCTTGGGCATGAGAGAGATAAGAGAGAAGAAAAAGAGATCGTTAGCTAGGGGTATTTACTTTACTCGTTTCAACCTCTCTACCATTTTTATTCTCCCTCTCTCTATTTTTAATTTTTGGGTCTTTTTCATTTTTGTTGCTTTCCTACTATTTGCAATTAGTTCAGCTCATTAATGAAATTTTGCTGCTCATGCTTTTGTGGGTTTCACTGTTTTTTGCCTGGATATATATAAAAAGGGTGTAAAGACTATTGGTAGTCACAACAATACTACTTATATATATATATATACATATATTTATTGATCTTATATTATATAACTTTCTGAAGAAAACCCTCCTTCTCCCTTTGTGTGGTTTTCGTTTTTCTTCACAAGGATTGTTGATTTGATTTGCAGAGCCAAGCTAACGACAAAAGGAGAAAAAAAAAAGAAAAAAAAAATATGTATGGAGATTGTCAAGTGATGTCATCAATGGCCGGAGGGAATTCGATTCCGTCATCAGATAATTCCATTTTCGGGTCTCCATCGATCCACAACCCTAACGCCATGAACAACTTCAATTTCATGCCTAACATAAACCCTTTCAACATTTTTTCTCCTATTATCCCGGTAAGTAATTAATTAAAAGTATTATATAGTTTATTATGCGTATAGTCATAATGTGTGATGCATGTTCATTATGCAAATTTGCCTAAAAATAATAGTAATCCCTTTCACAATTTTTTCGTTTCCTTTTTTTTTTTGTCTTTAATTTTGTGAATTTGAGATGCAGAAAGAAGAAAATGGGATGGCTAAGAGCAAAGAGGATTTAATCGAAAGTGGGTCGGGAAGTGAGCACATGGAAGGACTTTCGGGTAACGAGCAAGACTTAGATGCCGAACAACAACAACAACAGCCACAAGCCAAGAAAAAACGATACCATCGCCACACGGCTCGACAGATCCAAGAAATGGAATCGTACGTGTACTGCAATTAATTAACTAAATTAAATCAATTATTTTAGTACATATTATAGAATCAACATCTTTAATTTGCACACTATCTTTATACAATAACTGTTGATTGTGATTCTACTATTTAATTTATGAATTTTATTTATTGGAATTAATCAAATAATTAATTAATTAATATATTAAAGTTAAATGGATTTTGCTAACTTGACAGGCTGTTCAAGGAATGTCCACACCCAGACGACAAGCAAAGGCTGAAGCTGAGCCAAGATCTCGGACTCAAGCCACGTCAGGTCAAGTTCTGGTTCCAAAACCGAAGAACTCAGATGAAGGTGCGCATTTTAGCACCAACCCCTTCTTCATTTTCCTCTCTCTCCATAAATACGGGTATATATATGCATGTTTGTTTGTTTGGAGAGTGGTAAATAAATAAAAAATAAATAGATAAATATAAAACCCTAAATTAACACGTTTTCTAGTAGTTCTCCAGCTGTTTTTTCCTTTAAAAAAATAAACAAACACGCACCAAACTCTGTTAGGCCAGATTTGTGTCCCAATGGGCATTGATTTGGGCCGAGCCCACATTAACTGCATAAGGTCAAAGAAGTAAGAACAACAAGGGAACTCGCTAACGTGCACGCACCACCAATGCGCACAGTAGCAAGTAGGAGGAGGGGGTGGGGGAGCAGCACATTAAATTTCTTATCTGTAATAGTTGCTTTCAAAGTCTGCATTTTTGCCATTAATGTGCGCAGTCAACCTTACCCCTTCACCCACTGCTGCTCGCCACCCAACGGGAACAAAGCCATTAATGCCCCTCTTAGGGTTTTTAGGGCTTTAGACTACTCTTAGTTACTTACTCATTGAATGAAAAAAATCAAATTCAAATATAATAATATTAAAAATGGAATTTGTACATGTATGAATTATAAACTAATATTGCTAAGACATGTCCGAATTTTTCGCTTTTCGTACATAGGCGCAACAAGATAGACAAGACAATGTTGTCCTAAGAGCGGAAAACGAAGGCTTAAAGAACGATAACTATCGTTTGCAAGCCGCATTAAGGAATATCGTGTGTCCTAATTGTGGAGGTCCGGCCATGCTCGGTGAAATGGGGTACGACGAGCAACAACTCAGGATCGAAAATGCTCGTCTCAAGGAAGAGGTAATAAACTAATAACTAGTAAAATAATTCTTTCTTCGGATGATATAAATTGTTTATTAATATAAGAACAATGTACTATGCAACAATGCAGTTGGATCGAGTTTGTTGTATGGTCACACAATACACGGGTCGACCAATTCCTCAACCGATGGGACCCACTTCTCTCCTCTCACATTCGTTGGACTTGGACATAAGCTCGTATCCGAGAAAGTTTGACCAAAACGACCCGTTATTGGCCAACATTCCACCTCATCATCATGACCACATGAATATGCCTCTTCCCGATTTCGATCAAAATTCGCAATTCGCGAGCGCTAATGCCAACACTCTAATGATAATGGAAGAAGAAAAGGGGGTGGCTATGGAGTTGGCATTGTCGGCCATTGATGAGCTAATCAAGATGTGCCACGCGGGCGAACCCCTTTGGGTTAGGGGAGGAAAATGTGGTCAAGTGCTTAATTTTGAGGAGTATGCGAGAGTTTTCTCTACCAACTCGTCGTCGGTTGATCAGTTGAGAGTCGAGGCGAGTAGGGACACGGCCGTTGTTATCATGAATAGCATTACTTTGGTCGATGCTTTCCTTGATGCGGTGAGGAGGGAAATTTTACTTGCATTTGATGAATTCTTTTATATTTGGCTGCGAATCGTCTAATTATTGAGATATTATGCTTAGTTTGTCTAGATTGAAAAATGGTGCAGTTTGTTTTGTTGTGGCCTTTTTTCTGTAAATGGCTTAAATTAGTTAAGAGAACTGATTATGCTTCAATATGCTTCATTTCCGGAGAAGGAATGTGATTTATATCTTAAATATATATCATTATGTGTATTATCCTTAACTGGTTAATTATCTTGTACAGAACAAGTGGATGGAGCTATTCCCTTCGATAGTCTCCCGAGCAAAAACACTTCAAGTGGTGCATTCTGGCGTTAGCTCCGGACATGCAACCGGGTCTCTTCATCTGGTAATTTTTTTCTTTCTTTTTTATTTGAATGATTCCACTTAATAATAAATACAATATTTGATTGATTATTAATATCTCTCTGTATTTTTTGGTGCAGATGTATGCAGAAGTACAAGTTCTATCTCCTCTTGTCTCTACAAGAGAGTCGCATTTCCTCCGTTACTGCCAACACAACGCAGACGAAGGAAGTTGGGCCATAGTCGATTTTCCAGTAGACGCCTTTCAAAACATTTACTCGCCTTCTTTTCCTTATTACCGCAAGCGGCCATCCGGTTGCCTCATTCAAGACATGCCCAATGGATACTCGAGGGTACACACGCCTATCATATTCTAGATTCTTCCAAAACTTGTTAAAGTTTCACAATATTTCACAATCTTTCAATTTTATTATTATTATTGCTTGAATATTATTTTATAGGTTACTTGGGTTGAACATGCTGAAGTTGAAGATGGCCCAATCCACCAGATTTTCAATCACTTCGTGAATAACGGCATTGCTTTCGGAGCTCGTCGATGGTTAGCCGTTCTTCAACGACAATGCGAGAGGCTCGCGAGCCTCATGGCCCGGAATATATCCGATCTTGGAGGNTGTCTCACATAACTTAGAATTATTTCCCAATTGCTCATAAGTTAAACTTGCAGTGATCCCTTCACCGCAAGCGAGAAAGAATCTGATGAATTTGGCTCAGAGGATGATTCGGACATTCTGTGTGAACATAAGCACTTGTTACGGACAATCTTGGACTGCTCTTTCTGATTCTGCAGACGACACTGTTCGAATAACCACTCGAAAAGTGACTGAGGCCGGCCAGCCTAATGGCCTCATCCTTTGTGCTGTCTCCACTACTTATTTGCCTTATCCCCACCAACAAGTTTTTGATTTCTTGAGAGACGAACGGCGTAGAGCTCAGGTTAATTTTAATTTTTCACCCATAAATTATTCGAATTATTGTTGTATGCAGTTACTAATAATTGAACTTTATTTTTTTCGCTTGCAGCTTGAAGTGCTTTCGAATGGGAATTCATTGCACGAGGTCGCTCACATCGCAAACGGCTCTCATCCTGGGAACTGCATTTCTCTTCTCCGAATCAACGTAATTTCATTTTTGCATCATTAATCAATATTTTTTTTTTCTGTTGTGCAAAATTACATTTGTTTTTTTTTTCCCATTACAGGTGGCAAGTAACTCATCACAGAGCGTGGAGCTCGTGCTGCAAGAGAGCTGCTCGGATGATTCCGGAAGCATGGTCGTCTACACCACAATCGACGTGGATGCCGTCCAGCTGGCAATGAACGGCGAGGACCCTTCATGCATTCCTCTGCTCCCCATCGGCTTCGTCGTAGTCCCTGCACCACCCAAGGACCAATCACACGACGCCACCTCATCACCCGACAACAACAACAATAACAACACTGGGTGTCTTCTTACCGTGGGACTCCAAGTCTTAGCAAGCACGATTCCAACTGCAAAGCTCAACCTGTCGAGCGTCACAGCCATAAACCACCACCTGTGCACCGCAGTGCACCAGATCACAGCCGCCCTCGGCAGTGGCCGAGTTATCAATGATGATGATGTTGCCAAGAAAGAAGGGGACGTTTAGTCGAAGAACGGTTACTTAATTATTATATAGCGAGTGATTTATTGCTTCTTTTTTTTTTTCATTTGTTCTTTAGGTTTAAAAAATATTTGTTATTTTGGAAGTCAAGAGCGAACCAGATGGCATGGGGATCCTTGCTATCTGGTGAGGCCGACACGAAAAAGCTGTATTTTATGTTTGAGTGACGGCCTCGCCAGCTAGCAAGGGTCGTGGTTCGGGTATTGACTTTCGTTTTGGCTTGTTTTATATTGTACTTTTGGCGGGCGAACAATGGGCCTACTTTGGGGATTTGAATTCAGAAACGAATCGTATCGAATTTGTGCCAGGTGTTGTGAATTTCATCATGGTGGGTGGCTTATTCATTGTTTGTTTAGTATGCTCGTGTTTATGTACAACATATATCATACTTTAGAGCTGCTTGATGAGTCTGAATATTTTAAGGCTCGGTCTCACTCACAATAATGCAAATGCTCGAGATTGGGTTGAATTTTCTCTGAATTTGATATGAAATTTTCAATTAAAGAATATCAGGGTCAATTAGGCTATTTCACTACTCTGAATTTGGTGAAACTTGAGTTTGAATCTTTGCATTGACTTGTAAACTGCTCGATTCATTTGCAGTTGTATATGCACATCATTATGTTTTTGTTGGTAACTGTGATAGGAAATTGAAATTTTGTTACACTAACAAAAATCTTTTGTGACGCATAAATGTGCCAACAATGACTACAATTTGAAAAGGCCCACAAAAACTTCCAATTTCGAAAACACAACCCATTAGAGTATTGGATCTAGTCTTACCTATGTGACATATAAATAAACCCAAGTCTTGGATGATATGAATAAAATTATGTAAAATTAACAAAATTTATTTCAATGCAAAGTGATTAGGTCTCTACTTGGGTCTAAAATAGACTTAAGGGGAGACCGGTCTCTTTTTCTGGGTGCCATATCAGCAGGATCCAGTCTACTTTTATTTGCATTGGAGAATACATTTTTTTAGACTTGGTCTATTTCTTAGGTGGCATACAATTTTTTGGGATTGAACCCGAAGCATTGTGGATGCTCTTAGGCCATTGCAGCTCACTCTCTGCCACACTCCAATGTCCCAAAACTCCTCACAACATCACATTTTATCTTCATAGCACATCCTTTGACCTTATTTGACAAAAAAATACATGGTCAAAATTGGCTCAAATTGCGCTTGAGTTTGGCTCAAACCTTCAAGGAAACGAGTAGAGGTATAAACAAGTCGAGCCGAACTTGAGTCCAAGCCATTAGTGAAACAAGTCAAGTTGAGCTCGATTTGTTAACCAAACGAGCAAGTAAGCGATCTCGAACTCGGTTCGTTTATCAATATTAATGAATCAATACCGAGCCTTAACGAGTCGAACTATAAAAAAAATAAAAAGTTCTTATTTTCGAGACTTATCAAGAAGAGTTCAGACCGATTGTTAACTAAACGAGCTTTCAATAAGTTCAAACTCGACTTTTTTGAGAGCCGAACATAATGGTGGCCAAGGAACCCGGCCCAATAGGTTGCAGGGCCAGTATTGTGGAACTGGAAATGGTAGGGGGAAATACTGTTACACTACCTCAAGCGGGCTCGAATCCAATTCTAGCCCACTGGTTTCGGATGGCCACGTTATTTTCAAGTAAAATAAATTTTAAAATGAAATTTCAATTTTTTTTTTGAAAATTGTCTATTGACCTTTCGGACTAGACTTGGGGCTCGGCCTGGACAATCATCGACACGGGCCTCTTTTCCGTGGTCAACAGGCTGGGCCCATCGGGTCGGCCTTTGACTATGTTTAGGCTCACCATTCAAATTTGAGCTAAATTCACGATCAAATTCATTTCATTTAACAGTTGAACCACAAGATTAATCGAGGAAATCCATTTCATATGTTTTTGATGATAGTAATGCGGACTAGATTAATCGAGGAAATAACTTCTTTAGGTCCTTAGGAACACAAATAAATAAATAATCTTTTGTGATGCATAAACGTGCCAACAATAACATTAATTGAAAAAGTATCTCACAAAAACTTCCAATTTCGAAAACACCACCCAACTCACAGCTCATAGCAACACTCCAAAGTCCAAAACCCCCCAATATTTAACGGAAAAAAAAAAAATCATCAGAGCTCATCCTTCACGATTTCTCTCGAACCGCAACAATGTCTCTCCTAAACCCTAACCCTTCTTCCCTCCTCCGCCCTCACAGGCTACCCCATAGCTTCCTCCCCAAATCAACCAAACCCCACCACGCCGTAAAATCACTATCTCCGACCAACAAATCCATCTTCTCCGTACGCTCCTCCTACACTTCCTACTCGTTCAACGAGTGGGGGGAGAGAACGGGTCCCGAGCCCGAACCCGAATCGAAGGTCTCGGGCCCGGATCCTCCCAAGGCCGAGGACGAGTGGGAAGCGGTGTCTGAAAACCTGCCATACGTTGACGAGTGGGGGGAAAGAACGGATCCCGAGCCCGAACCCGAATCGAAGTTTTCGGGTCCGGATCCTCCCAAGGACGAGGACGAGTGGGGAGGGGTATCAGGAGTTAGATTGGGAAACGTAATCCCGGTCGCCGATGGTGGAGGAGTTAGTGTGAGCGTGGATGCAGAAAGCGAGGCCGATGAGAAGCTCTGGGAGCTGAAACGGGCTTTGCTGGACACTGTTTACGGGTCGGATTTAGGATTCCGGGCGTCAGCTGAGGTGCGGGCGGAGGTCCACGAACTTGTCTCGCAGCTGGAGGCTGCGAATCCTACTCTAGCCCCGACTGAAAGCACTGGATTGCTTGATGGGAATTGGGTTTTGGTGTAAGTATCTTTTGAAGGAAAAAAATAAAAAATCTCGTTAATTTGTTGAATTATTTTTATCTATGCTCAAAATGAATCTTATGTGCTGCATTTTGGTGATTAATAGGGAAATTATATAGAATTGATAGTTCTAATTGTGACGCTGATTGTAGAAGAAGATGGTGATGGCAAATTAACTTAATTGATTTGTAAGAACTATGCTCGGTATTGGAGGGTTAATCGATAATGATGTCTGTAATTTTAAATCTCGATATTCTCAGAGAAAAAGCGTTCCACTTGATTGGCTTCACCATTAATATGGATGCATTACATAATACATCATCGATGAAACTTTTTATTCGTTTATATTTAATAGTTTGTCTAAATGGACAGCATGGTTTAGATCCTTCTATCTACTTGAGTGCATAGTGTATTCATCTACTGATAAAAATGACCGCACAATCTTACGTTGGCTCGTAGGACATATAAGCATTATGGATGTTTGCATGGATTCATTCCCGGTCGATTGCTCCATTTTTTATTAGAAATATTTACTGAATTTAGTGATATCACATGTACAAGAATTCTCAGTGGAGAAGCCTTGTATAATATCCTATGTATGAAAATTTGTGGTAGACAACACTTCACCTTATATGTCTTGCAACTCTTTTTGCTACTACATACTGTTTCTTACTAGGGGGCTCTTAACTAACTGCCTAACCAAACAGTTCCTTGTTTTCATCATAGTGTTTATGGCTGCGCGCATCTTGATAGCACACTTGCTGAGAACATTTTAACTCTCCAATACTGATATCATCAACTTGTTTGTTTTCCTACATGCTGAATGGCCCAATATTTCCTTCGAATAATCTGTTCTCGTGTAATTGGTGTTATGAATAAGCATGCATATAAAATGTGCGGGTTAGGCTCTTGTCGTTATTGGTCCTCAAAGAGTTTCTCGAGTTATCATACGGCATGGGTATTCAATTTACGCAAATGGGACCTTCCACTTTCTCGACACCTATTTGCTATTCAGCCATCCTTGCATACAGTTTTGCACCGTGGTGACAGCCTTATGAATCATAGCAGCTTCAATCACAAGCCGGGCAGCATGGCCCGTAACTAGTTAGTGGGGGGTGTGTCCAGCTTGCCTTTTATAGATCATTGCACCAGTTTGCAGCAATACGAAGATTTTGAATTTCCTTACCCACCATGTACGCAGTCCAATCCATGTGAACCACCAATCTTCTCGTGGTTGAGATCACCACCATGAGCAGTAGGGTGTATGTGGCGGTGACAAGTCCAGTTACATACCCCCATGAATCTGTTATGAAGGTAGTAGCCAATGAACAGTCCTCCAACCATCATGGTACCATCATGGTCACGCACACTGAACGAAAAAAACCACGAATTCTTGGTATTTACTCATGAGTTTGGTCTGCCCCTCCATTAGTTCCTCCCTTCTTTCATCTTTCAGGACATTTAGAGCCCTCGAAAGGTGACTTCCAATGATAGGTGGAAGTGGGGCCGTGGCTCATCGGTCTGGAGTCCTGGACTTGTTAGCGCACCAACTCTAGGTCGATGAGTCACGGTTCCCACTTCCACCTGTCATTGGAAGTCACCTTTTGAGGCTCTAAATGCCTTGTAAGATGAAAGAGAGGAACTAATGGAGAGGCAAACCAAATTCCTAAGTAAGTACTAGGACTTCGTGGTTTTTGTCATGCAATGTAGTTCAGTGTGCGTGACCATGATGGTTGGAGGACTGTTCATCGGCTATTACCTTCATAACAGGGTTCATGGGTAAGTTCTTAAACTGGACTTGTTACCATCACATACGTTTCTTATGGTGATCTTAACCACGAGAAGGTTGGTAGTTTAGATGAATTGGACTGTGTACACGGTGGGTAAGGAAATTAAAAATCTTCGTGTTGCTAAAGTGCAACGATCTGGTATCTGGCAAAAAGCAAACTGGACCCCCCCCCACCAAACCAGTTATGGGCCATGTTGCCCGGTTTGTGATTGAAGTTGCTATGATTTAGAAGGCTATCACCAAGGCCGCCGCCGCTCAGATTGCCAATGACTTCAAAGAGCTTCTTGAGTTAACATACGGCATGGGTATTTTTTCCTTGCATTTCAGGTACACGGCCTTCTCTGAGCTATTGCCCCTGCTGGCAGCAGGCACTATTCCCTCAGTGAAAGTCAAAAAAATAAGCCAATCTATCGACACAAGCAATCTTATCATAGAGAACTCCACCACATTATCGACCCCTTTTTCCTCTTTTTCCTTTAGTGCTTCAGCATCCTTTGAAGTCCGGAGCCCTTCAAGAATACAGGTACAGTGGCACACTACAATTTAGTCAATTTCCTCTTAGTAATTATTATTTTTATCTTTAGATGTAAAAACCGAACTATACATGTTGGGAAATTTTCTAAGATTAGTAATTACTAATCAAAGAAAACTTTTTCCAGGTTCAATTTAAAGAAGGAAAATTCAAACCTCCTGAGATCAAGTCGAGCGTAGATCTTCCGGCTAGCGTTAATATTTTCGGGCAGAACTTAAATTTATCACCGGTTCAGCAATCCCTGAGTCCACTTCAAAATGCTGTTGAGGGCCTAGCTCGGACTATTTCTGGTCAGCCTCCTCTTAAGATTCCTATTCCTGGTGAACGGACAAAATCGTGGCTTTTAATCACGTACCTTGACAAAGATTTTCGAATTTCGAGAGGAGATGGTGGCCTTTTTGTGCTTGTGAAGGAAGGGAGTCCACTCTTGGATTACTAGTAGCCGGTATTCTTGTCATTTGTGCATATTTTTTCGCTTGCAGTGCGTATGGTACCACATTTTTATACATCGCTTGGATTAGTATTTCTGTACTATAACACTTAAAGGAATCGGTTATACGCTGCCTTTGCATAAGTCTTTCGGTGTTACTATTTGTTCGAGAAATTCGACTGTCAATTTAATATCATTCGAGGTCGAACATTTTTCTTCTGTGGATTCACTGATTTCAAAGTGGTTAGTAGATTTTGTTTTAGTATCGTTGTTGATGAGAATAGTAAATCAAACATGAGTTGAAACCAGCTTTGCCTGTGAGATATATTATTAAAGACTCAAACATGAAATATGAGCAGGCTGTATATTAAATTTAACAAAACTCACAAATCCTCTAATGAGACAAGTAGAGTGGAAGCATTCGAGCAAATATTTATGTTATTTAAGTAAATCATCTATTTTAATCAGTACAGTATGATTGTGAATAACAAAACGTGTGTTGAATTAATCATTTTTTATATACAATAATCTGTGGTAAAAACTATATTCACGTGATAAGCAACCAGTGTGTAGTTGACTTATTTCAAGCAAATGATCCTCCT